ACCCGGGGACAAGCACTACCAGGGCACCGGTGTGTCCCTATCCTGGCCAGGTTTCCCTGCTGGGACAGCAAGCTGGCATCACAGGGATGTCGTGCATGGGAAAACAGGAGTGCAGCGGCCCCAGAGACTGCAAGGAGGCGCGTGGGGGCGAACGCAGCGAGATGGCCCAAGGCACCTGACTGTCCCCAAGGGCCACGAGAGCCCTGCGAGACTCTCCCCTTGCTGGGACCCAGCTCATCACAGCTGCTTTGGCTCTGGTCCCAATTCCCAGCATCCAGAGGACACGGCTTAAGAAAGGCTATGGGCTTTTCTCTTGCCAACCGTGAAAAAGGTAAATGCCGCAAAACAAAAGTCTCCATCATGCTCATGGAGACCACCTGGAGCTCACTGAGATGAACCATGTGGTTCATCTGGGATGGGATGGGAGCTGAGGCTTCCCAGCTACATCAGGTTGGGTGGAATGGCACTGCCAGGTGTTTCTGGTCTTTCCCACTGCGTTCCCTCTCCCACACCTTCTGCTCAGGTTCAAACACAGCTCATGCTGGGCTCGATCTCCTCAGGAGAGTCTCCTGCTCCTTCTCGGAGGCTCCTTCTCCGGAGATATTCAAGACCCACCTGGACACAACCCTGAGAACCCTGCTCTCAGTGACCCTGCTTGCACAAAGGGCTTGGACCAGGTATCTCCAGAGGTCCCTTCCAACCTCAGCCATCCTGGAGATGTTGAGGCCAACACAGAAGGAGGAAAGACGGCTGGACAACCCAAATAAATGTGTGTTCTCCAAGAAAACCCTCATGGCAAGAGATACCTGGGGAGCACAGGGGCAGTGCTACCGCTGACAGGACTCCCACGCTTGGGAACCTGCGGGCCAGTGCTGGAAGAAACCCTGCCCCAGGATAAACATGCCTTCTCCTCCGACGCAGAGGAGCTGCTTACTTTGACCAGAAACTATTTTTTATCTCACATTTATGGGAGGAGAGGCTGGGAGAGCGAGGCTGGCTCGGCCGCAGGAAGACAAGCGAAGGTGGGAGGGGGAAAGACGGATCGGCTGCTAGGAAAAGAGCTGGGGGGAGGATGGAGAAGATGGGGAAGGGAAAATGGAGGGGATAACGGGCTCCGAATGCCCACCCCAAACCTGCTGCTGGGAATCAACCAGGCTGGGAAGCAGTGCGGTGCCCCTGGAGCGCTCGCTTGCCGGGAGC